TTGTAGGGCTAGGCTTTGAATTTTCAAAGCCCCCCAAGCGTACTCGTTGTCTGTAACTTCAATTTGTCTGTATCATTTCAGGACATGCCTGGTCATTGTAAAGGTGGCTGACATGTGCTGGATAACAACGCCCGTGCCAACACAATGCCGACGAGTCCAGCCCCAGTTTTGGCTTCTCAGCTCCCCCAACGAACAAAGAGACCACCTGAAGGATGTGTAAGTGGAATAGATCCAGGCCGGGAACCTCTCTCAGCCTCTCCTGGAGCCTGGTCACAAGTGATTCTCCGAGAATTGACGGTGCTCTGCCGGCGATATGCTGTCCCGTCGCTCATCCGCACACGCGCGGACTTCACCGATCAACTTGATCTACGATTCCCCGCTCCTGAACATGCACAACAACAGGTCTTCAACCGGAATGCATGCCAGAGCTATCGAAGCGTTCTTGATGCCAGAGCTATCGAAGCGTTCTTTCTCGGCTCCGCTACAACCGTTCTTGGCATCGTCTGACGAGACTCGACAGGACAACCGGCAGACGATGCTCGCGCAGTAACGATTCTGACGAGAATGTTATGGATGTCTTAATCATATGCCGCAATAGCGTGGTAAGCTTACAATTGACGGGGCCTGACAATAACCGCAGGGCCCACGATGTCTGCTCCCGACCTTGGTGACGTCAATTTGTTTATCACCCTGCAATCGCATATCAGCTTACGTCAAGTCAGCAGTGCATATCTGCGGGCAGGTTCTAGATAGATTTATACACTATCGATTGAGCACGCCACCGTTATGTAGTTTTGAGGAGATGGAAGGCCTGGATCTTGACACTTTCAGGACATCCACCGTAAACTTAGTAACGAGTCCACTCTTTTGGTCTGAATGAAAATACATATATCGACCGTAGCGATCTCTTAATAATGCGGATCTTCAAAAGTACCCGTTGAAACCAAATTCCAGGTAGATAAGATCTTGGATGGTTTCTATAAATGAGTAGCGGATCTATTGTTACGTCTATTCGGCCTTCTCCTCGACGTCTAAGCCGACGGGGTAGTAGTAAAACTCGGCTTAGTAGTCGCGACATGCTACAAGGCCGTCGTTCATCGCCGAAGACGCGGGAAGCCCTTCCATACTAGTAACCAACACGCGGTCTTTGTCTAGCTATCTGATGACGATACTTTTGACGTTGGCTGTGATATCAAAGCCGTAGTGCGGCCCCTGGATTTCGTATAATAGCTGCGATGACACGGTTCCGACCGAGACCTCACCACCAGTGCTCTCCTCCTTCCGAGTCGCAGGCTGCGCCTAAATCACAGGCTTCGCTGATCGGATGGGACGTGCACCTCGATACAGCCTGTGTGCTGTTTGCGAACGGAGCATTGTGCTCCCGGGCCCCATATCTTGGCTATATCCTAGAAACTGTCCGAACTACCCCTGTTGGTGATCTCCGCACCAGACCCTCGTCGTCGGAACACTTCAACGAAGCTTCTTTGCGGTGGGCCGCTCTCTAGTATCAATATATGCGATAATAGCACAATGGCAATGTGGAGCGGCAACATCTTTGCCGGGCGATCTGTGGATGGCTGAGCTTGATCATTCGCCGCCATCGTCTGATGTGGCCTCAGTATCGGCTGTGTGTCTAGTATTTTCGTTGGCTCTATGCCTTTCATGACAAATGGCTCACACGAGACGAGGGCATGTAATTCGGCGCAAGAATCATGGCGACGATTGGATGAACGACTCGGTTTCGACAGTGAACAATAGTACCCAGGCTTGCGGGGCTCAGGCCTTCCGGGGCAAGCCTAGATCGTCCCGTCACCAATATGGCGAGAGGGACGCCGGTCAAAGCCCGGGCGTGTGTTCGTCAGGTTCATGCGAAAATGCGACAGTATGAGGGTATTCAATTGTCTTTTTGAATGGCACGGTCGGAACGACGATCAATCAGGGTTCTTCTGGCTCCTTCATGCTCGTGCCGCTTATCCATGTGAGATCAGACCATTCTTTCCCCGTAGGAATCATGGGCCTGACAGGTCGGCCAAGACAGTCTTTATAATTTGGGCCAGCTGAGTGCCCTCCTCCCATACAACATCGTGGTTGCCAGTGAGATCCTTGGTGACTTTGACCTGAACCTTATCCTCCCCCAGCCGCTTGGCCATGAGGTCAATCTCAGTCTCATCGACGAGCTGGTCATCGGGCGACCAGAAAAGGTAGGCACGCGTGGAGCCGAGCTGCTCGTTGAAGTTGCCGCTGTAACAGGCAGGTATGCGATCGTTCCAGGTCGACTCGTCGTCGCCAAACGCCCCAGCAATGAAGGCGGCGTAGGGGGGACCGTGGCGCTGGACAAATTTGCGCAACTCATAGATGCCCGAGACGCCGACGACAGCAGAGGGCAGGATGACGCTAGGGGTAGGTGCGGCAGGGGCACCAAGGCCGATGGCGGCACCACCCATGGCCAACTGATACGCCATGGTGGCACCGGCAGAATGGCCGATCAGGACATAGCGGTCGCCAAAGGCATACCGCTCCTGTAGACTAGCGAGAGCGGCGCGCACATCGAGCAGGTGATCGGGGTGGCGGGCTTCCTGCAGCTCCGAGGGCGGCACGGAAGAAGGGTCCTGGGGAAATTCGGGGTGGGGGGAGAGGCGGTAATCGATGCTGGCGAAGGCACGGATGCCGGAAGAGGTGAGGCCGGGGCCAGAAGGGTTGGCGGAGGCGAGGAGCGAGCGAATACAGGGAACAAAGCCCGGGTAGAGTTTACGTGGATCACGCCAGGCGCCGCCGTGGATGAAGCTGGTGGAGAGGAAGAATGAGACACGGGATGAGCGAGTTCTGATAGACGAGGCGCGAAGGGGGGGAGGGGGGAAGGGGGCAGGGGGCTGGAGGGCAGAGAGTGCGCACAACTTACATGATCCAGTATCCCTTGTCGTCGCCAGCCAACTGGGGCGGGAATTGCCATGTGCCAACCCTTTGGAGAGAGTGTTCGCCGTAGCTGTGTTGGGCAAAGATCAGAGGCGTGTCGTCAGCTGTGTCCATTGTGCCTGATTGCCTGAGTTGTCGAGACCTTGTTGGCGCGTTTTGTGGTGTAGTGGTGAGATTGGAGTCGAAACAGGTCGTACCTCACCTGGGCCCAAGGCGTCTTGAGCTCTTTCTCCACCCCCTCACCCGCCAGACGAGCCAGACTGGGACGAAAAAGGCCGTTTGGTGTGTTGATGTCGACCAGCGTGATGTGGTTAGCGACGCTTGCGATGGACCAACGCTATTCGTGCGGCGTGTGGGCACGACAGGGGTTCGGGCCAGGGTGCATGCATGAGAGGTGACGCGACGGGCAGGGCGGGACGACGGATCAATGTCGCTGATGAAGGTGTTGGTTGATAGCGTGGGAGCGAAGAGACAGAATTTGTGTGTGCCGCGTGCCATGCAGGAGGAGATGATGGTCGAGGACCTACCTGCGGACCTGAGGTACCTTACTTATCTTACTTATGACGGTGTGGGTGGTGGCAGGTGAGGAGACAAGACCAGAAGCACCGCACTCCAAGCGGGTAATAAGGCAGGAAGGGGGGGTGGCAGGAGATCGAGAGGCAGGTATCAGGGAAATGTGCTGTGTAACCAAGGTACCACCTACCTTACCTTAACTTTCGCCTTACCTAAGGTACATGGACACTGAGAGAGATACTTTACCTTGGCTGTGTATCCAGCGCAGTGTCGAACGGATGCATTGCTCCAAAAACGAAAGTCTCCCTCGACGTCGTCGTGGGATCCCAAGGACGGAAAGTTCCCACGTCGCTGTTTCACATTGGCGAGGTGCCCTTGCCAATTCCTACACCGTGGGACGGTCGCGGGCTGCTACGCCCTTCCTTTCGCCCGAAGACATACTGTAGAGGCAGTCGCAAAGAGTCCGTCCACAGCACCTGCCAATCATGCTCTTTCCCAAGACGACGGATCAGGGGCACCGCTGACAGGCATCCCCCCTCCTCCCCGCGGCCGCTTTCCCCCTTGCCTTTCTGCTCCCCCATCACGCACTAATGCTGCAGACCTGCAAACTACCCTCGTCTGTAGTGCCATTCGCGTTCGCATCCCCATGCCATTGACGAGCCACCAGTCTTCTGCATTCATGGCTGGAAATCCTACTGGTGCCTGTTGAGGCACCTCGCCATTCTCGGCCTCGACGAGCCTCGATGAGCCTCGATAACAAGGAGGGCCAGAACAACTTGCCCAGCACTGCCTGCAAAGGCGCTGACCGAGGGCGCCGCCACGGCGGGGCCTTTTTACGAGCCCAGAGGCGACATATACGGAGCCTAGCTAGGCAAGGTACCTGAGGTAGGTCGGTAGGCTGCCTTAGCCACCTGCGACAGAACGCCGAATCTCGTGGTCCTTTCGTCGCTAGAGGCTCTTCCCACACGCCTCGCGTCTCGCCTCGCCTCGCCTGTCCTCGCCTGCGCTTCGAGCCCAGATTCACTACCCTGTCGTCCACATGGGGGGGCCCGGGAGGGAGAGCGATGGTGCCTGGCCGGGATCACACTCTGCTAGCTTGCCTGCAGAACCGCAGAACCTTGCAGCCTTCATTAACGGCCAGCACAGTTGGGGCGCCGCCGTCGCAGCCATCATCCCTTGTGTGTCCGGCTGTCGGCAAACACGCACAGCACGTAGACTCGACTGGACTCGAGATGACAACACGACGGCGTTGTTGGCTGCAGGACCCGGCTGGCCATCTGCTAGCACAAGCTCACGTGTAAGGTGCTGTTCGGTGTTGGCTGTATTGACGCGGCGGATGAAGTCCCCCTCCCCCCTTCTCGGCCATCTCTTCGCGGCTCTATGCTCTGTGCTCTTTGTGCTATGCTTTCCTCTGCGTCTGTCCCTCTCTCCTTCAGTTGTCGTCTTCCATTGGATTTCTTTTCCTTTCTTCTTTCCTTTCCATTTCACTTATTCCTGACCGTGTGGATTGTTCTCTGGAGATCCGGAGAGGCCGGCCCTTGACTTCAGACTCTGGAACGAATCAACCTCCATCCATGGCCGGGGTGGATCTGACCGAAGATCATGGAGGAGCCCTCGTAGCTACTGCCATCTCCTTCCTCGTCCTCAGCTGGGTCTCGGTCATACTGCGCACCTATGTGCGCGCCATCTTGACCAAGGCCTACCAGGCCGACGACTGGCTCATGCTCGTTGCCCAGCTCATCTTCACCGCCTCCTGCGTCTTCATCCTCGCCGGCGTCGACAATGGCCTTGGCATGCACAACAAAGCGCTGGAACAGTCCCGGGAGATCAGGGCCCTGATGGTGAGTTCTGTCATGTCCCGACGGCTTCACGTTTGTCCACAGCGACTAAACCGCACACGCCTTCAAGTATCAAGCCCTCGCTACCGCCACGTATGTCTTGAACATGATGTTCATCAAGTTCAGCGTTGGCATCTTTCTCTTACGCCTGACCACCTCAAAGGGATACATCTGGACGATATACATCAGCCTGGCCATCGTCATGATTTGGACCCTCGTCATATTCTTCTGGAACATTTTCCAATGCCACCCCGTCCAGGCTCAGTGGGACTACACCATTCAAGACGCGACCTGTGTGACGCCCGACCACATCGTTTCTGCTGCCTACTCCATCTCCGTCATGACCATTTTGAGTGACTGGCTATAGTCAGTTTAGCCCGCCATGCACGCACGCGCGCACATCAACCGCCGAGACCCTCGCTAACCATTTCAACAGTGCCCTCATGCCCATACCCATGATTTGGAAGGTAAAAATGACCGTGCCTGCCAAGATATCTGTGATTTTGCTTTTGAGTTTGGGTATCTTGTAAGTCGCCCACCCGAGCAACCCAGCATCGAAATGTGCCGTACAGCACTCACTCCATCCACAGTGCCAGCGTTGCGACGTTGATTAGGCTCAAGTTTCTGGCTGACTTGAACGATCTCGACGATATACTCTGTAAGGCGAATCCTTCTCTTTTTTTCCCGCTCAGCTATTACCCCGTGATTACTGACGCGGTCTCATAGTCGCTGGTACCGATGCCATGGTCTGGACTCTCGTTGAACCAGGCGTCGCCATCGTTGCCGCCAGTCTCGTCACGATCCGGCCACTTCTTCGACTCTTCCGCTTGCACGGCTTCGAATCCACCGGACGTACACCTGGCCCCAGTGGCACAGCGCGGTCCGGCACGCAGCGATCCGTTGGGAAGATGCCGGCGTACGGTCACGGCGAATTGACCGCCATCGACATAGAATTGGCCGAAGCGAAATCCTCTGGGTCGTACGCAACATTGAGCATCAAATCCAATCCTCCACCGTTACATATGTCACCCCTGAATATGTCGCCATTTGATCCAGCGGCGCCAGGCGTGTTGCTGCGGCCGCCGCCATTTGAGCACCGAAGAAGTAAATCAAAGAGTCTCGACGTGCACGAAAGCTTGCAAGACGACGGCTCTCAGCCTGCGAGAAGGAGCTACATCAACAGCGAAATGTATGTTATCGAGGGCCCTGGCGCTGGGGGCGTCGACAAGTGGACGGGCGATAGACTGCGCTCACCGAGCGTATCCTCGGACGACCTGCATGGGGTGGACGCACAGAGTCAGCATAGTGGCCGCGTGGGATTGAGCGGCAGGCGATAATGGATCTGAGAAACAGGAGACCTGACATTCCGTGGATCTCAATCGCTCGGCTCTATTTTCCTCTTTCCACTCTTTGCGGAGCGACGGGATTTCTGGTCGCTGGTATGAGAACACATCATCGGAACTTGCATTGATTTGGGAGAGGCACCGTATATCATGTACATAAGTCTGGGCTTGATAGATGGCTGGCGAACAGGCGTTCTTCAGAAGAGCCATTGGAGCTCCAGCTTGGGACCTACGACACGACTGCAGTCTTTTATTCAAAACGGATACCTCTTGGAATCAAGTGTGAATAATGACAAAGGGACTTGTCTTGTCACTCTCCACCAAGATGCCACAACCGGACGTGACACCATGTTAGCCGAAGCACTTGCAGTTCCGCGGTACCACAAACCAGGCAATGAAATTCTCTCGCCTTCCTACGACAGCGAGCGACGAGTATGCAATGGGGTGACTACTGTATACGCAGTCTGCCCTGTTTCCGGGCACCAATAAACCAATACAGTGGTGTCACCAGTTCAATCATGTTAGCCAGCTCTCTGCCTGGCTTCATATGATTCGAGCCAGTGGAGAAAAGAGGAAGGGTATATTTCCGCCCGTGGCGTTTGCTGCTCCGGATTGAGAAGCACCCAAGCCAGCAAGCCTCTGTATGATCTGCCACCTGTTTCTAAGGTATACGTGAAAATCTTGAACCAACTCCATTTTGCGTGGGCGCACCTGCGTCCCTTTCACCGCCTCGATGAAGTCCGGGCATATGTATATGTCTATGAACGCCAGAGCAGGCTGCCCCGTAAACAAGACTCACTCGTCGATCTTGAGATCTTCAGGGTTCACGACCCACTCCTCTTCATCACTCCATCGTGGTGCCAGGACGAAGCGGCCCATGATCTTGCCCATGCCGTAGGCATCACCGCCATGCTCTGCGTTTTTGGCCTTCTCGTCCGCCTCTTCGATGATGACAGCCGTCGTCAAAAAGTTCATGCCAGCGGCCGGACCAAGCTCGAGGGTGCAGCCGCCCCAATCAAATTCGACCTTGCCCGACTTGCGCACATTCATCTTCCCAATCATGCCGCCCTGCTTGAGGTCCTCGGCCATTTCTGACACGGACACCTTGGTTTCGCCCTCGACCTTGGGCTTCCTCTGCTCGTCGCTGCCTGTCAGGTCAATCGAGCCCCCGGCACCCTGCTCTAGCATGACCGTGTCGTCCCCTTCCGACTTGACCACGGACGAACCGGAAAGGACGTGCAGCGGAGGTAGGACAGGTGGGAACTGGAACAGATACAGGCGACCATCCCTGTTGTGGGTCAGGCTTCCGTCGTCCGCCGGACCAAGCTCGCTCAGCAACATTCTCATGTCGGCTGTCATCATCTCCGTCTCTGTGTCCAGGGCGGCCTTCTTCTTCGGCTTGCGCTCGGCAGGCCCATCTCCGACGGGGGACACAGACTTGGAGTCAATCTCCATGGGTTCGGCGGCCTGTGACTTGTCGTGCGCGTCAAAATCGATGGACACGTCGGCGTCCCCTTCTGCCTTGACGTCGGTGACGCCCTTGGGCGCGGCGTGCCACACGGCATCATCCTCCTGCGCCGGCTGCGGCTTGTTGGGCCTGGCCCTGTCTTCGCCCTCGACATACAAGCTCTCCTCGTCTTGGGCGTGTTCCTCGGCCTCCAGCTCCGCCGTCGTGGCCAGCGCCTTCTTCTCCTCCTTGCGATCGACGCGGAGGATGCCCATGGGCCAGCGGGCACCGGGGTCGGCGTTGATGAGGGCGGCGGTCGCCTCATCCGAGGCGTCGGGTTCGCGGTTCGGAGGCATGCCGGCGAATCGGTCGGCATTGATGCGCGCCTCGACGTCGTACAGCCCCGACGGCCCAAAGCCAGGCTTGCCCTCGCCTTTGACGCCGCGTGCCGTGCTGCCAAAGCCTGACCCCCCGGCGCCTCCTCCACTGCCGCCTCCGCCGCCCCAACCGCCCGATCGACCGGAAGCACCTGGAACGCAGATCCGTTAGCAAAAAATCAAAAAAGAATTAAAAAAAAAATCAAAGGCCCCGACGTGTGTTTGTCTGCGACAGACACAGCGCGAGGACGGAAGGGAAAAAGCGTACTCTCGAGAAACTGAGAAAACGGGCCGCTGGCCGCGGCACCGCCGCCTCTGCTCATGGCACCGCCGCGGCCCATGGCGCTGCCTCGACTCCTCTGGCTGCGGCCGCGCGTGCGCGCCTGGTTCCGCGCCTCCTCCTTGGCGCGCACGTTCTCCTTGCTCTGCTCCTGCCGCGCCAGGGCATCGCGCGACGCCTCGTCTCGGCGAATGTTGCGCGGTCGGCGCCCGGCTAGCGGTCCTCGCGTGGGTTTCGCGACCGCCTCGCCGCGGATCGACGGGGGCATGCTGCTGTCGGTTGGGGCTGTGGTGACGGCGGCATGTTGTGCTGCTGCTGGCGTGGTCGCTTCGGCGGCGGCGGCTGCTGTGCCTGCGTTCTCGGCGGGTGTGACTCCGGCTGCGGCGCCCTCCCTGCCACGGCCTCTACCTCGTGTGGCAGCCCCGGCGGCGCGGCCACGAGGCCGACCTCGACCTCTGGCCTCCGGAGCCATGACTGTGCGGCTGGTGGGTGGGAGGTTGGAAGCGACGAAGGTTCGTTTTTATCCCCACCCGAGGTTGCTGCCAGCTGCCAGCTGTGAGGCGTTGTGATGTGTCAATCCAAAAAAATCAAAATCGGCTCTTTCTTCGGTGACAGTCGAGTGCCTGGAGATCCCTGTGTCGGTGTGTGTGTGTGTGTGTGTCGGAAGGCGAGCTTGTTATGCCATACAAGTTGGTGATCACGGCAGGTGCAGTTTCATTCTTTGCTGAAATGGAATTCGCGGGGCAGCTTTTTGGACATGCGCCAGACCGATGCAAGGGCCGCCGCCGTGGACAGGGATTAGCACAGTGGTGGGGCACGAGGTCCCATCAGCATCATTATGCCTACTTGCCCCTCCAACATGGTGCTGTCGACGCATTCGAGAAGACGCATTCGAGAACGAGGGTGGCTGAACAAATGAAGTGAAACATGGGACACGTTCAATGAAATTCTTGATTGCATTGCGCTGCGAAACTACCGCAGACAAATCATGGCCTGGTCTCCGTAGAGCTCCGTGATGCTTCCCTCCCTCGACAACATGTGGGCAATCCATACACGGCCGCCCTCGACGGTGCCTGCGCCAAACTTGACGACGACGCATCCCCGGACACTGGCGGCCGACCACAGGACGGCGTGCTGCTTTTCCATGGCGAGCCTCTGCAGACGCCACGAGTCCTCGGCCGACCGGTCCGTCTCCTCCCTTTCTCGCGCTTCCACCGTCCTGAAGTCGCGCGCACCGAGGCGGGGCAGACGACCGAACTCGGCGAGGAAAAAATCACCCAGCCTCTGCATCTGGGGCCCTCGCAAGAGGAGGCTCCCAAAGACGCCGTGGCCGTGCATGGATCCGCGCAGAGGCCTGCCCGTCAGCGCGGACGCCCGCTCGTCGAGCACGACCGTGTCTCGGACGAGCAGCCGCGCGGCGCCGGCGGCAGGGGTCTCGTCAGCGTCGCCGTCGTCGCCGTCGTCGCCGTCATCGCCGCCGAGCCAGATCTCATTGCGGCCCTTCCACCGCGCGAACCCCCAGTCTTCGCCCCGCGCCGAGCGGCCCTGCGTCACCCAGTCGAGGAGGCACAGCGAGGCGGTCGGGGCGAGGGTGAAGCGCTGCGTCTGCTCGTAGACGCTGTCGTCAAAGGGCTGCACGGGGTCCGGCAGCAGGCAGAGGCCGGCGCGGGCGGCGATGCGGGCGCGCAGCGCCTGGCGCGTGACGATGGTCTTGGAGGCGGCCTTGAAGATTTTCGTGTGGCCCTGCGTGACGATGCTCAGGCGCGCGTCGGGCCGCACGAGGATCTCGAGATGGACGTGGTCGCCGCCGACGAGCCCGCCGCCGTAGGACAGCAGGAACACGAGCGCGCTCTTCTCGCCGGCCGTCAGGGACGGCGAGATGAGCTTGAGCGGATACTGGTACGTGATCGACTCGAAGCCGGGCTGGCCGTTGGGCAGCAGCCGCGCGACGATGCGGCCCTCACCGGGCGCTGACGATGATTTGGGGAACGGCGAGTCCATGGGCCGTGGAGGCTCTGCGGCAGCCACACCAGCAGAGAAGTTGGCTGGCTGGTGTGAGGTGGTGCATGGAGGTGTAGGCTCGAGCAAATAGCACGCCGCGAGGCCTCGTAGCTACTGATGGACTGTCTATAGCGAAAAGAGCAAGCCAAGTACCTAGGTAGGTACCTGACCTACCTGATCTAAGGCACCTACCCTACCTTAGGTAGGTAGGTAGGTAATACCCAGGGGTCCTTCCCACGCTTGCTCAGGTCCTGCCGTTCAGAGCCGGCGGGGTCGACCGTGCGAGCAACAGTGCGTTTTTATCTCTCTGCCCATCCCCGTACTGTATACATCACACGACCCCCCCCCCCCCCTTCGCCCCTGGCGCCCAGGAGCCTGGGGTCGCCG